CTCTCAAAGAAACCTATGGTTTTTGACTTCGGAAGCTTAATTCTTTTCGGAAATCAGCTCTATTGAGATCGTTTTAGGATGATAAGACAGAGTACATTGAGAGCTTTTAGGAAATATATGGTTTGTATGGGTTTGTTGGGGAAGGAAGAAATTAAAAGCAAAAACGGTTCTATAAGTTATTTATTATTATAAGAACTCCAACAATTTTTTTTTTTCACAAATTAAGAAATGGATCCATCTTGAATTTTTATCATAATACTTTGATAGGAATGTATTTACAAATATAAGAAATTACATGATTAACAAAAAGCAGTTTTCATTATTGGCCTCGAATTTCAGATTCAAGCACATCACCTCAAAAACTGGGTGAGATTGTGTTCATCACGAGGATTTAAAATTTTTATGGGTTGGCTTGGTTCATGTACATATGCTAATTTGTCGGTAACATCATTACCAACAAGAGCACATTGTACCTGATTGTTGGGAGCCTCTTCCCAGACTAAATCTTTGCATGGTCCCATTTTTACCAATTATTATCATCACCAATAGATATTTCAAACATTCGAGACGCACAGTATTGTATTGCAGGCGACCCATAACCCCAGCTCTTGCTGTAATTGTATTCCACCCTCTTCTTCTGAGCCTTTTTTTAACATAATATGGCAATATTGTTTGTGGTGCACCTGTGTTTGACCACACATGAGTACACCTTGTTGTTGTTTTGTATGTCATAAAAATCATAGTCAAGCTGAGCAATTAAATTTTCATTAGGCCTTTTGACATGGACTCTGACCTTTATTTGAAAAAATTACTAAATTAACTTGAAAAACTACATGAATATATTCTTTTACTAAAATACAATTTCATAAGATAAAACAATTATGATCAGATCCATATTCAAACCTTGTAGTCATCATCATTTCCAGTACGCTGAGTAATTACCATCTTTTGTTTATTTTTATTGTGAAGAATTTTAAGATATATGAATTAAATGACAAAAGAAAAACACAACCAATTTACACTTGTAATTGATAAATTAAGATTTATTGTTAATATTCCAATTTTTGGAATAAATTTACAATTTTATATTCATTAGAAAGCTGAAGTTCCATCATCCATCATACTGAAAAATTACATATTGTTATTATGTAGACTTTAAAGATTGCCAACAATTTAAAACATCAACTGCTCATGTTAAATTCTTTGGTTTTTTTAAATTTTGATTAATACTGAACTGATTTGGAATGAAAATACCACCATTAATAATGGATTTTCCGTGTGTTTTGTTTTAATCAAGTTGTATTTAACAAATAAAATGAAAAAGATTGTTTATTATTGTTGTTGTTGTTGTACATCATTTGGTGATATTGTTATAGATTTTGTCTAAATGAATCATTAAATTAAAATAGAAATTTCTTTATATTAATATGTTGTGTAGATGTATAGAAATAAGAAAAGTCCAACAATAAACTGAATTTTACCATATTTTTGGTTTTATATATTCCAACCAAACGATCAGCCAATTCAAACATATTGTTACGTAAACTAACAACAATAAATTGTGCATCTTTGGTACGCTCCTTGATATAATTTGCTACAATTGAGACATTTCGAAAGTCCAAAGCTGCATCAATTTCATCCATAACATATATTGGTGTTGGTTTATAATGATGAAGTGCAAATATCAATGCTAAAGAACTTAATGTCTAATAAAATTTTTCATTATATTAATATATAAACTATGAAGTTTACTGAATTTTTTTTAAAAAAAAAGAGAAATACCTTTTCACCACCAGATAAATTTGATATGTTTTTCCAACTTTTTCTTGGTGGCATAACACTAAATATAATACCTTCAGAAAAAGGATCCAAGCTATCACAACATTCGAGTTCTGCATTTCCACCAAGTGTCATCAACTGATACATTTCTTTTAATTTTTTTGATATAAATGTGAATCCACACATGAATTCGTCTAATCTTCTTTTGCGTAACTCGTCATATTCTCTTTTACAACCATCACGTATTTCTGTTATCTCTTCAAGTTCTTTTGTCCGCGCTTTATATTCCTCTTCATAACGATGATATTCAATTAACACATCAAGATTTGGGTTCGCGTTTTGTACTTTTTCTTGTAATTTATTGATTTCATTAATCAAATCTTTTTTGTTAATTGCCATTAATTCATCATCAGAATAGAATTGCAGTTCATCTTCTTGCATGTCATCATCGCTTCCAATTTTATGAAGCGACAATTTTTCAAGCAGTTCATTCCAATGTCTTTGTTTTTGTTGATTTCCTGCTAAATTATGTTCAATATCTTCCAATTTATTTTTTATTTCCATTTCAACAGATCTCATCTGATTAAATATTTCATTTTTGTCATCAAGTTGAGCTTTGATTTCGTCTAATTCATCTTTTTTATTTTCTAAATCCTTTTTTTAAAAAAATATTAATAAATATAATATAAATAAATTATAATATATATAAATAAATATACAAACATTTTTTGACTTTTCAGCTTTTGAGTTAATAGAACTAGCACTTTCATTATTTTGTTCAATTTCTTCTCCAAGTTGATTTATCTGATTGTTAATTTCTTCGATTTCATTCTCACAATTTGTCAAAGAATTTTCCAATTTAGTTAAATCTTTCTCAGATTTTGATTTGGTCACCATCAAGGTTGTAACATGCTCAGTAAGTCGATCTATTTCTGATCTAATTCCATCGACTATAGCTTTCTGTGCACGAAGTCTACCACCACCAACTTCCATAATTTGATCTTGTAAATATTTTATATCATTTTCTATTGGCGTTGAATAATTTTCCTTTAATTGTTCTATGTCTCTATTAAAATTATCTATTGTTATTTGAAGTTCTTGCATTTGTTGATGATCTTCTAGATTTGGTCTATTTTGTTGGCTGCAGTAAATAATATCATACAGACGGATAGGTAAGAAAATATTGTTTATTGTTTTAATTTCTTTGTAATAAATAAAATAAAGATTTTTACCATAATTGATTTACACGTTTCTCAACATCAGCAAAACGTTTTATACAAGATTGTAAATCCATTTCAGATTTTGTTAAGGCCAATTCCAATCTTGGGATTTCATCTTGTCTTTTTTCAAGTTGGAATTCCCAATCTTTACGTTTTTCATTGAAATCCTTCCATTCATTTTCAATATGGGCACGGTTTTGTTCCAACTCTGTCAATGTTTCCTGAGTAATGTCTGCAACAAATCTTGAACTCATAGAACATCTTGATACTTTATTACCACCACTTCATTTGTCTTAATCAACTTCCCGAACTCAGCATGAATCCAATCCAAACACCTGAAAATGTTCCACGCCTATTTGACCTGATAAGACCAAAAGATCAAAAGTTTGCTCCAGCTTTTTACAGTGTTTTACGCGACACCTTAGTAGCAGAAAATTTACAACAAGCAAATAGGATAGCATATGGGAAATATAGATGGAGTGTCGTCACTTTGGATGGTAAACTTATTGATAAATCGGGTACTATGAGCGGTGGTGGTAATAAAGTATCAAGATGTTCTATGAGTTCAAGATTTGTT